GGCTGGAGCTCAGGTTCAAACCCCACTGCAGTCAGCATGTCGTTGTGTCCCTGTGGCGCAGTGGACTGGAGCTCAGGTTCAAACCCCACTGCAGTCAGCATGTCGTTGTGTCCCTGTGGCGCAGTGGGCTGGAGCTCAGGTTCAAACCCCACTGCAGTCAGCATGTCGTTGTGTCCCTGTGGCGCAGTGCACTGGAGCTCAGGTTCAAACCCCACTGTTAACCCTATATTGCTGCCTTACATCTTAACTTTCAGTGCATTGAATGTTCTTATTTTCTGTGCACAACCTCAGGATTTAACAAGCTCAAAGATGCCATTTTCAAAGAATGCATTTGGCAGTGGCGATAACCCTGAGATAATCCTTAAAGCATTAGCCCAAAGGCTGTCATCATTACTCGCACTGGAGGGATAAGGAAGCGCTGACCTGCAGTTCTTCACAGCCATGCTATAATATAATATATATTCACATTAAAGGATGTATTTGCAATTTATTTGGTGCTGTGTTCGGCTTGGGGGACTCGGTGACACCTGAGGATGATTTCTGTCCTCATTAGGAAGCACAGAATATCACTGAAGAAGCCAATCTGTTTGTTAGCCTGCCTGTGGATTGAATAGTGGTTTTCAAAGTCATTTTGTTACGTTGAAATAAGCACTAAGATAAAATAAGATAAGATACATTATTGATCCCAAAGTGGGAAATATTCTCCTTGCAGCAGCATAAAAAGACAAGGCGTTGACACATAAGTAGAAATTAAAATTAGAAATAAACAATTCTTACTTTTCCACATCTCAAAATTGAAATAAAACAGCAGAGTAGAAAATATATACCGTATATATTGACCGTATATTTTAATTTCCATATATTTCATTTTATAAAGTAATTTTGCTATTTTAATTTCAACATTTATTATCAACCTAAACGCTTCAGAAATCTTTAAATCAAGACATTACTTCTTAAATCTCTGTCTTTTTATATCTTACTAAGATGTGTATTGTACAAAAAACATGGAACACATGTGAATGTGAATCAAACATGCCTTTGCAGTGTTTAGTTTATGCAGAAACAACTATAGGCCTTCAGGTTTTTTATTTGTACCCGTAGGTAGATTTAGTTTGCAGAGAAAAAGACAAGGGGTCCATCCTGACTAAGAATAAACACAACAACAGACACACCTCTAATAAAAGGACTAATACAAAGTACAAGTACACCCTGCTCCGTCAAATCTACAAATATTTCAAAAACATTTAAGAAGAAAAACACTTGTACAAACATGGACATTCAAAATGCATAAATACATAAATAAATAGGCATCTGTGTGACGCTGCTATGATGTGTTCATTTGTGCAATAGCTGCTGGGATAAAACTGTTTCTATACCGCTTCGTTCTACTCCTTGGGACGACTGACCTCCGGCCCGAAGGAAGAAGCTTGAATTCTGAGTGCAGAGGGTGGGAGTCATCGCCTAACGTGGAGCTGGATAACCACTTTAACCTTAAGGGTCTCCAGGTTTAGCTGTGGCTCACCAATCAGTCTGCTGGACCACTTTACGATCTCACTCAGAGAGTCTCTGCTCTTTAAAGTCCAAACCATGACATCAATGAAAACGACAGAATTGACTCGATAAAAAATGATCCTCATGGTTTTGTCAATTTAGATGTACCTTTATTTCTCATTTCACGTTTCTACAAGTATATCCAAACATATTTCATTCGGATCCTTCACTAGTTATCAGTTTTAAGAGGATATCTCAGTAAGACTTCAAACAAGTCACGCACCAGTTGCTCTCAGATCTTTACCTCGAACAGAAACGGTTTCGGATGTATTTGAATAGCTTTGACTTCCTGCACTGGTGTGTCGTCTTTATTTGAGTCTTCCTATACATGCTCTATGCAGCATTTAGTTAGCCTGGAAAAACCGAGATGGCAACGTCAAAAATACCAAACTGCATCAAGGCTTTTCATTTAAAAAATGGCAAGAGCAGCTGTGGTTCTGTGACGGTTGACTTGCTTTGTTTTAAATATGTCTATATCTCTTTTTAACACAAATCAAGTGTTATACAGCCTAGCCTCACCATTACAATGTTAATTAACTTATTGTAAATAGCTGATGTCTGAGATGTTTTTATAAACATTTTCTACAGTTTCTGTCATTTCCATATAAGTTAGTTACATGCTGTAGTGGGAGGAGCACATGTATAGTGTAGGTGTGCATTTGATTACGTTTGAATGTCTTGTTCCCCCCCGCTGTGTATTTAAAAGCCATCATCTGAAAACCAGTGCTTTTTGAAGCAATGAAAGATATGACCCAATTAAAAAAGAATCCTACGGTGAATTCATCGCAGTGTGTGATGTTAGTTTGGTGGGATAGTCGGTGCGGTTGGACCAACGGTGACTCTTTACCTTCCATCAAATGTCTGCTTACAGCTAATAGCCTGCAGGACACCACTCTCAAACAGGCCTCCCTGCAGCGCTGGATCATTCTCTTTGGATGGTTCAGCTGACACACATTGATTTAATGCAAGACTTAATGCAAACGTGTGAAGGAAGAAGAATGAAAAGAATCAAAGGCTTTATCGTCATAAGCACAACGGCTACAGAGTTGTTGTTGTTGGCAATTCAAACACATCTTAAGTCCCAGGCTTCTACAACAATGCAACCTACAATACTTTTGGACCCTTATGATTTAGAAAAGGGCAATACAAGTGTTCGTACTGGGTCGTTTCTCTCCCAATGTAAGTCAATGGGAAAGAGTATTTTTGGGCCCAATGGCGTCACAGACTGACACGGAAGTTGTAGTATCGCCGTTTGGCCACTAGAAACATTTGCTCCAACGTCGGCCACACCTTTGAGGGTTTGGTCTCAATGGACCTGCCCTTTCAGAAGAGGCTGAGTAAACTGTGTAAAACCATTCATTAAGAACAAGTAGAATTAAACGACAGTGGAATAAAATACTGTTTTAAAACATGTTTCATCTGCTTATGTGTACACGAGTGGGAGTGTGTGTGTGAGGCCTTGTGTTCTGCCCACTCACAGCCTATCTGTATACCCGCTCTGATATCAACAAGAGGGCAAAGTCTTTCTTTGAAGGTTCATGCAAGGCTAAGAGAAACATGTTGGGTATATTTTCAGGGAATTCTGTTCGTTAAAAACCTGCAGAAGAGAAAAAGCCGGTCCCCACTTCGTACCCTCATCCTGCAGCTGTGTGTTGTACTTGCCGGGGGAGCGTTTCAGAATCCTCTGCTGTATAGCCTCGGGGTGGGATTTTACCTCCAGGGCTATTACAGAGCATCCTCCTTCTCACGCCTGTTAACCGAGCAGAGCGCTCACTCCCTGAACACACAGAAACAAGCACACTGAATCCCTCCGTCACACTCTGCTGCGTTGTTTCTGTCGCCGTTCTCTTTCTGCATGTTCTGCTCGCTCCGTTACCCTTTCCTCTAAAGCAGGGGTCGGGAACCTTTTTCCTCTCAAGGGCCATTTCAATTTTTACAATATCCTCAGAGGGCCGTACCAAATTGTCTCCGGGCCGTATCGGAGGTTCCCCACCCCTGCTCTAAAGTGTTGTTCCTGGTGAGGCCCTCTCCAAACATCACTGCAGACAGATATCTGTTCTGCAAGAGTAAAGTAGTTCAATAGGATCTGCCTTACAGGTAACTCTGAACCAAAGAGGTTTTAATGACACGCTCAAGGACACTAGCCAGGTTTCCATCCAAATGCATGAAACATTTTAACCAACTATTTCAGAAAATCTCAGAAAGGAACTGTGAATAAATGCGTGTTTTGATCCACCATTGTGTGATGACTGAGTTAAGCAATATGTCTTTCAAGCTTTTTAAAGAGGCCCTTTCAACTTTTGGGCGTTTTCCCTTTCCTGTAGTGTGTTCTAGGTTTTAGTGCATGTAAAGGGTCTGCAAAGGCTACAATCCCTGTCAGTTTCTCTCCCCCCTGAAATGCCTCAATTGGACTCCTTTGTTTACTTCCTGAACATAGTGACATCACTATGTAACACTGCTGTTCCTATTGGCCAGCGTTCCAACAGATTGTACGTGATAGGCTAAGGGGCGGGACATCTCTTGGCTTTTTTGCGATAAATATCAAGATTTCTTTCAACGTTTCCACTTTCCAATGCACATGAAAATGCAGAATGTCTAATTAAATTCTGTAAAATGTTCTGTCGTGTGTCAAGGCAGTACAAACAGTTCATATTGACAGCTGGTTTAATAGTGTAGACGTTGTAACCTTTGCACTTCATCAAAGTCGAGTCAAAGTCAACTTTAATGTCAATCTTTCAGTTTGTGTGTACAGACAGTGAGATCGAAATGACGTTTCCAACAATCCTGAATACAAAAATACAATTATACAATATACAGATATCTATACAAATATGTATACAATATGTATATCCTATAAACACAATCAACAGGCAATCTGTGTTTATTATTATTGCTGCTGCAAACAACACATCCATGATAGCTAATACTTAACAGCCAGATTGTGACAGTAGTGGTCCAACAAATAAAAACATTGCAGACCCTAAACCGATGACATTGGATCCTGAAGGGTTCACTTGTATTGCTCTTAAGCTGTTACAGTTGCAGCAGTTTTACACACATGATAACTTTAGGCATGTCATAAAGTTTTTAAGTATCAATATAAATGTTAGACTATTGGTAAGCGTGTAATCGATTGTGGGGTGTCGCATTCAGACGATATGCAGCAGTTAAAATGTATACTATGATACTAGATATTATTTTGAGTTCTGGCTCCTGCCCTTATTATCTGCTTTATTCACTTCCTGAGTAGATGTGTTTTTGTTCATCCTCGCCACCTTGTGTCCTCATTATTGAATGTGAACATGAGCACAGAACCATCTATCTCTCATCATTCATCACTGAGATGATCAGGAATGAACGAAGTCAGAAATGAACGAATGAATAGTCACCGGCACTCTGTCTTCTCAGATGATATCCTGTTCTCTCCCAGCTGTTCTCCTTAACTGTGTGTCTCCACGTGGTTCGAGAGAGTCAGCATGATGGTGATCTTGTTGAACTGCGTGACCCTGGGGATGTACCAACCGTGTGAGAACATCGACTGCACCTCGGATCGATGCAAAATACTGCAGGTAACACACACACACACACACACACACACACACACACACACACACACACACACACACACACACACACACACACACACTCACATTAACTCACACACAAACACAGTATAAAGTATAGGCTGTGAGGAGGGTTAGGGTTGTCTGTCCATAATTGGTCCTCACAAGTGCACTACACACACACATTTAACACACACACACTCTCTCACTCACACACACACACACTCTCTCACACTTACATACACACACACACTTACACACACTCTCACACTTACACACTTACACACACACACACACATACACACACACACACACACACACACACACACACACACACATTATGAAGTATAGGCCATTAGGAGGGTTAGGGTTGTCTGTCAATATTTGGTCCTCACAAGTGTACTAAAACAAACACACACACACTCTCACACTTACATACACACACACACACACACTATTTCTCACACTTACATACACACACACACACACACAGTATGAAGTATAGGCCATTAGGGGGGTTAGGGTTGTCTGTCAATACTTGGTCCTCACAAGTGTACTAAAACAAACACTCATACACATATTTATCGGTGATGTCTTTGATATTATTACTCCTCAGATTGTGAACATAATGTTGCCAAACACTTTAAACCCCCCCTATATTAAAGGTAATAATTATATTTGGTGGGATGTGAAGTTGTGTATGAATGTTTTCTATAAACAAGTGCGTCTCTTAGGAAATTCAAAACAGTAGACAATATACAATTATATAACATAAACATTTCAAAAATAGAAATAAAATAGAACTAAAGAGTAGAAAATATACAAGGGGACGGTAAAGCTGTAGAAGGGCATATTTTCAGCTAAATATTCAAATAAAAGTATGATAATAGTTACATTAGGTGTGTAAGGAGAGTCGTTGTTTGATCTATCCATGGACTGACCCAGTTGTCCTTATTGCAATTATAATGACTCCTTCAATTCAGAGTGCAAGGAGGAGATGCAATAAAGAGACATTTAGGAGACACACAGATTTGATTGCTATTACTCAAGTTTTTATTTGAACAAACAATGCAGCCTGTGTGCATATATGTATATCAGAGTATGTGTATATGTGTGTATATGTATATATGTCAATCAACAGGTAAAGCAGATTAATAATAATAATGCATACAAATGATAATTATTGCAGATTATAGATTATAAATAAATCATTTAGGGACAAGGGGGTGAGATTAAATAAAGTATACTTCTTCTCACTCCTTTTCGAACACTAGATGTGGCTCTGTTTATGTTGCTAATGCTGTTGTTGTTGTTGTAAATGTCATTTTTTGTTTTGATTTCTCTCTCATGACTATGCACTGCAACATTTGTTTTGTTTTGTAATTATTTATTTGACTTGTTCAAAATAAATGTATCAACCAATCAATCAACCAATCAATCAATGCAGCCTCCTTAACCAATGCATGCTGTCGTAACCATGACTTTGTATTGATCTTTTTATAGATAGATACTTTATTGATCCCAATGTGGGAAATGATTTTGTTACAGAAACAGAAGTGTGTTAAGACATTCAAATACAAATACTTAAACACATTTAAAAAGTGGAAAAGACAATTAACAAAATGAAAGATATTATATAAGCACTCTAAAATATTCTAGATAGTTAAAATAAAAAGGCTCCCCTTACTACATACATGTTACCACAGCTGGACCCAAAACTATTTCTGGGCTTTAACTTTTACATGTCTTACTATTTGCCCTTCAATGAGCGTTACAGCTTCATTATTGCGTGGCTGGAGATTGTGTTTCTCTTCCCGGAAGCACTTTGTTACTACTGTTTGAGAGTGCCCTATACATAAAGTGTACTTAGTTACACAGGATCATGTATATTTGATTAGAGGCTCTACACGCACACATCTCTGCTGTGGAGAAGCACTTATAAACATGCGTGACCTAAACCTACACACCTGCTCACAGCCATACATGTTTTACATACGGTATCACCCCCACAAGAACGGACTGACTATAGAAGAGGGAAGTAGCAGCGCACACAATGAAAGGTATCTAGGATCACTAGCAAGGAAACACGAGCTTTGGTGGTTTCCTACTTCTTCTTCTTCTTTTTATAAATGACAGCAAAGTCGTATCCAGTCTGAAATAATCCAGCAGCTCCATTTGCAACATCAACAGGTATTAAGACAAGATACAAGGAAACAGACCTCTAACTTCATTAAATAAAAAAAGGCAATATCTGTTTACCATATATGGAGATATGTATTCATAGATTTATTTTTGTATTTGCTGAACTTGATTGATAGTACATGCATCTGTTTTCTATATGCACTTGTTTTTCCTGATAAGGACAAGTCTGTGTTGTGGCCTTTGTGGGAGGTGTATTACATTCACAGATAGCACATGCACACTTAAAGGACCTCACATTAGAGTAAGCAGAGTTTTAAAACATTGCTTCTGTCAAGTTCATGTTTCCATGTATTCCTACGCGTCCTTCTCTTGCTCTATTCGAGCCTCTTAGTCCTTCCCCTGCTGATTATTTTATCAACAGTTGATCATGTTGTGGATCTCTGAAAAGTCTACAAATAGTCAAATATATATACTTTGTCGCAGCACTCAGCATTCGGCACTTACAGGTACTTTGTTGGATGGTATGACTGGAATTTACCAAACTGAGAACCTCCTTCTCAAGCACTTTCTTTCCTCTCAGTCCTCACTCCCTTCGACCCCCCCCCCCCCCCCCCCCCTGCTCCTCTGGTGACTCACTGCTAGCTTGTGGTCCTTATGGTGCAGCGAGCAGGTCTTTCTCACCCCGGCAGCTTCCTTGTCTTCTGGCAGGACTCAGGACCCCCCCCCCCCCTCACTTCATGTCAAAGTTCGCCTGAGTGGGTGTCTGTGCACGAGTGTGTGCACGTTTGTCGGTGTGAAGCACTTGTCGAATCAGCCTGGCGTTATTTTGTTTACACTCTCCTCATGTAACAGCACAAAGTGGATTGATTCTGCTCCCTGGGGAAAGTGCTTGGTGAGTTGGACCGACTAGAATCTCTCCTCCCAGTGTCTATAGATCCCGTTCAATATCAGCATGGATTTAGTGCACTGCATCGTCACAGTCAATACGAGGCTGTCAGAACATCTGTTGTTCGATACCCTGATTTCAATTGTGCCTCACCAGCGCAATCTATAAGCTCTCACCGCGTGGATCTGAAACCCCCGGGAGCTTAGCTAGTTATTTAGCCAGTTAGCGTATATTTCTAAATCAATGGAGACAATGGGAACACATGGTTTGCCTTTGAGATCATTCAGGATTGTTTGCATTTTCCTTCGACGACCAACACTGTTTTCTTAGACACTTTGATCAGTATCAAAGGACAAACAAATAAACAGTCGTTTTGGGAAACATTTGCAAAGATCACAGAAATCCTGAAATGTTTAAGCATTTTTTTCTTCTTAAAGCCACAGTTGTAATCCCTAGTCATCTAGTAACTGAAAATGAAATTGTTGGTTCATCGAAATAGCAAATATCTTTACTCCCCCCCCCCACTAGAATAAACCCTGTTAGTTTCACACTGATAGTGTATTTCTAAACCAATGGAGACAATGGGAAGACATTCAGGATTGTTTGCATGTTCCAACTTGCCTTTCTTCGACACTTTGAACGATATTATAGGACAAAACAATAAACAGTCGTTTTGCAAATAAACTAGCAAAGATTACAGAAATGACTGAAACATCCATCCATCCATCTTCTCCCGCTTATCCGTGGTCGGGTCTCGAGGGTAGCAGTTCCAGCAGAGAGCCCCAAACGTTCCTTTCCCTCATCAACCAGCTCTGACTGGGGGATCCCAAGGCGCTCCCAGGCCAGCGAAGAGATATAATCCCTCCACCTGGTCCTAGGTCTACCCCTTGGTCTCTTCCCAGCTGGACGTGCCTGGAACACCTCCCTAGGGAGGCGCCCAGGTGGCATCCTAACTAGGTGCCCGAACCACCTCAACTGGCTCCTTTCGACGCGAAGGAGGAGCGGCTCAACTCCGAGTCCCTCCCTGATGACTGAACTTCTCACCTTATCCCTAAGGGAGACACCAGCCACCCTGCGGAGAAAACCCATCTCGGCCGCTTGTATCCGCGATCTCGTTCTTTCGGTCATTACTGAAACATTTAAGCAGATTTTTTTCCTGAAAGCCAAAGTTTTAAACCGTGGTCAACTAGTAACTGAAATTGAAATAGCAAATATATTTACTTTCCCCCTCCCTCCGCTAGAATAATCCCTGTTGGTGATTTTCACACTGATAGCTTAGCTAGTTATTTAGCCAGTGTGTGTATATTTCTAAACCAATGGAGACAATGGGAACACATGGTTTGCATTTAAGCTAATTCAGGATTTTTTGCATTTCCCTTCGACAACCAACATTATTTCATTGGACACTTTGAACAGTATTAAAAGCCAAAACAATAAAGTGTCGTTTTAGCGAAAACATGTGAAAAGATCACATCCTGAAATCCTGAAATGTTTAAGCCTGTTTTTCCCTGAAAGCCACAGTTTTAGTCAACTAGTATCTGAAACTGAGATTGTCGGTTCATCGAAATACCAAACATTTGACTTCCCCCTCCCTCCACTAGAATAAAGCCGGTGAGTTTCACACTGATGTTTTTGGACGGACTTCGCAAATCTTATGGAGTCTGAACCTTTAGGGTTTCATCCTGTCTGCCGTAGTGTGGTTCAACGAAATGGCAAATATTAGTTTTCCCTCTGGTCATATTAAAACTGTTGGTTGGTTAAGTTAAGGTTTATAGATGTCCTCCACCTGCAAGGGGGATCAATGATTTGTTTGTAGTGCCCAAATGACTTTAAAATGACATGCTATTCCTTTTGTTATTCTTGACACCTTGTCTCTTTCTGCATATATTTGTAAATAATGGATGCATGGAAAGAAAGGGAAACCATGGTTTGCATATTAAGTGAATTTAAGTTTTCCTGCATCTTTGTTTGTTCTGCA